TCTCATTGCTATTTGTTTATCAATAAAATTATGGGAAAAAATAAATTAAATAAAATACAAAAAATAAATAAATAAAAGAGAAAAGGGGAGCCAAGCATGATGATGCACGCCTGCAATCCCAGCACCCAGGAGGTAGAGGCAGGAGGACTGCTGCAAGTTTGAGGATTGCCTGGGTTATATAATGAATTTAAGGCCAGTCTGAATGGCAGCATGAGACCCTGTCACAATAAAATATTTAGAAATAAAAGGCTGGGGAGATAGCTTGGTGGTCTGCGTGCCTGCCTGGCAGGCATAAGGTCCTGGGTTTGATCCCTGGTACCGCATGCCATGTCAGCCCATTTGAACCCTGGGTGTGCCATGCCAGCCCTGAAACTGGGTGTGGTGGTACATGCCTGTAATTCCAGCACTGGGGAGGCTAAGACAGGAGGATCACTGTGAGTCTGAACTGCATAGCAAGACCCTGTATCAATCAATTAATAAATAAATAGAAAAATGCTAGAAGGGTAAATGATAGCTAAACATTTAAACAAAATGTTAACATTTCTACAATGCTATATATAACTCCCATCATTAGACACCTACAAAGTACTGATGAAACATCACATATCTGCCATGTATCAGCTAAGATGATGATAAAAAAAAGTAATCATTACTAAATAGCATTAATACCAGAAATCATACCCAACATTTAGAAAGTACTTACTGTATGTGTGTTCTAGGCATTAGTTTAACATTTTCATTGATGTTAAATCAACTAAACCATAAATTCGCTCTGTAAAGTAGGAACTGTTCTAATTCTTCTTTTACTAATGAGGCAGCTAAAGCACGGGGAAATATACTACAGGAAGCTGCTGCACCTCCACAGCTGTGGGAAAGCCGGGCTTCAGGTCAGGCCAGATCCCTCAGTACTGGCATCATGCACCCTGCCTCGTGTGGGTATTCAGTGCAGAGCCAGGAGCACACTTCACCTCCTCGTGCCCAGTTACCAGCTCTTCTCACTGCTGAGGCATTGGCATAGAAAGTTGTACTGCACTCTGGCTGCCTTCAGCTTACCCTGAACAGGAAGTTAGAAGTCATTCTGGTCATATGAGATGGCAGAGAAGGTAGAGATCTGAAGACCTGTGGGGCTCAGTAACAGAAATGTTAAGCATAGATAAGTGTGAGTCAGAATTTTATAGGAGCAAAGTTGGGAAGGCTGATTTAGAAGGCTGTCACCAAAGCTGTCCACAGAAAAGGGCTGGCCAGATAGCTCAGTGGACTAAAGTGGTGGCACCACAAGCTGTGCTGGCCCCACCCTCGGGGCACACAGACTGTGATTGAGACTGGGCATGGTTGCACATGCCTGTAATCCCAGTGCTTGGGAGGCTGAAAACAGGAGGGTCACTACAAGTCTGATCTGTGTAGTGAGACCCTATAGGCCCTGCACTAAAATACATTTTAAAAACGGAAAGAAGAAAAAAAGAAAAGCCCACAGGTGGCCTAAATGAAGGCTTCCTGATCCTATAGCACAAACACAGTTAGGGGATGATTTCAGGGCCCCAGAGCCTGGCATTGCTTGCTGAATAGCAGTGTTCTCCTGTATCTGAGTACACACTGATGTTGGGTTCCTGTGTGCTTGGCATATGAAGCAGTAGATCTCATTTGGCTACCATAATACCAAATTAGACATGAAGGTGATGAGTATTATTGGAGATAAAGTGAGTCATTTTTTAAATGAAAGAATCACTTTGGAAGAATATTTAGTGATTCTTAATATATAGGGACCTGATAACAGCTTCAAAATAATGAATAAAGGCCAGGGATATAGCTCAGTGGCATGGTGCCTGCCTGGCAAGCTTGAGGTGGTGAGTTTGAGTCCTGGTCCCAAAACAAGAATAAATATTGACAGTGTTTAAGTCCAAAAATTGACACCTCAAGGAAGCACTAAATCCATGTCCTGGGTGGACACGACAGCATCCCTCCCACAGAATGCATTGAACAAGCAGATAAAGAAAGTGATGTCAGTCAAAGTGGTATGCTAAAGACCTTGAAAACTTCTCTTCTCCATGAAACCCATGAGAAAACTTGCAAAAATTGTCAGTTAACTTTTCTAAAATCCTATAAATGAATCACGGACTTTCAGCAGTCTAGGAAGTGTTTATTCAAGAAAAATGGCCAAGCAGTAAGAACAGCGAGTTTGTGGCACTTTAATTTGACCTCCTCAGCTCCCCTTTGACAAGTCCAAAGTACCCTTGAAAGCCAGCAGCCCAGAGTCCTGGTGAAAATACCAAGTTCTGGCGGCCCCTAGAGGAGACAGAATAGGCCTGAAGCCCCTTCAGAACCAATTGCTAGGGAATTGCCATTGACCCTCCTGGTGGATCCTGGAGGATCAGCTCACAGGCTCTTTCACATGACCTGTCTGGGAGCTTGTCCAGTATGGAAGGCCTTTTTACATAGGCTGTGGATGTGTGTGTAAAACACCATTAGAAACAAGATTCCAGCTACCTGAGGGAGTGGATAGCAGTAAGACAAACAATAGGCTTCTCATAAAGTTTAAAAGGAAAAGCTGGGCTGGGGAGACAACTCAGCAGTCTGAGCACCTGCCTGGCAAGCACAAGCACCCGGCTTTGATGCCTGGTACTGCATGCTGTGACAGATCTGGAACCTTGGGCATGCTGTGCCTGTCTGTAATCCCAGTGTTGAAGAGGCTGAGAGAAGAGGATCACTACGAGTCTGAGCTGCATAGCAAGACCCTGTATCAAATAAGTAAAAGATTAATTTTTTTTTTTTTTTTTCCGGAACCGGGGATTGAACTCAGGCCCTTGCGCTTGCCAGGGAAGTGCTTATTCCACTGAGCCATCTCCCTGGCCCAAAAAAATATTTTTTTAAAGCTGAGAATTTTCTCAGAAAAGATGCAGACAGATTGAAAAACCTGTGCACTTACATGAATTGTGCCAGCATAGGCATAGTAGGGTTCCAGAAGTGGAGCAGAAAGGAGACAAGGAATGATTTAAAGAGGCAAGATATGGTGGCGCATGCCTGCAATCCCAGTACTTGGGAGACCGAGGTAGGAGAATCACTGGGAGTTTGAGTCCAGCCTAAGCTACAGAGTGAGTTCAAAGCCAGCCTAAACTACATAGTGAAGCCCTGTCTCAAAAAAAGTGTGTGTGTGTCGGGGGGGCTTTCTGGTTAGCTAAATTGTTTAAAGTTGCCTACATGGGCAGACTCAGGCATTGGGGACCGCGGTTCAATCCCCAGCTCCACATGCTGTACCAGATTTGACCTTAAGGCAGCCTGTGCCAGGAAAAAAAAAAAAAAATTAGGGAGCTTGCCGGTTAGCTCAGTTGTTTAAAGCACTTATTTGGGCAAACTCAGATGCAAGAAACAGTTTGGTCCCCAGCTCCACATGCCGCACCAGACCTGCCCTGAAGGCAGCCTGAGCCAGCCAAAAAAAAGAAATCCTTCTCAAAAAAAAGATTTGGAGAATGATGTTCAAAAACTCCATAAATTTATTGGACCACATTGTCTTTATTTAGATATATCTATATCTAGATTATGTCTATGTAAATATATATGTATATATGTCAGAGGTTTAAAAAACTACAAGTAGGGCCAGGTTTTTTTTTTTTTTTTCCTCAGAACCGGTGATTGAACTCAGGCCTTTGCACTTGCCAGGGAAGTGCTTATTCCACTGAGCCATCTCCCCGGGCCTAGGGCCAGGTATAGTGTCCCATTCCTAACACGTGGGAGCCTGAGGCAGGAGGATTGCCATGAGTTCAAGGCCAGCCTGAACTACATAGCAAGAGCCTATCTCAAAAAAAAATTATCATCAGTATGCAGAAATCAGTTGTATGGGGGCCAGGGAGATGGCTCATTGGAATAAGCGCTTCCCTGGCAAGCACAAGGGTTTGAGTTCAATCCCCGGTTCCACAAAAAAAAAAAAAAAAAAAAAAAAAAAAAAAAAATCAGTTGTATACTAGAGACCTAACTCTGAAAATTAAATAAAGAAAACAATTTATAATAACATCAAACATATGGGGCCGGGGAGATGGCTCAGTGGAATAAGTGCTTCCCTGGCAAGCGTAAGGGCCTGAGTTCAATTCCCAGTTCCGAAAAAAAAAAATCAAACATAAAACCTCTAGACATAAGGGCCAGTGAGATAGTTCAGCAGACTAAGCGCCTGCTTAAGCAAGTGCACAGACTGGGGTTTGATCCCCGGCACCACATGCTGTAACCAAGTCCAGGCGTGGTAGCGCATCCGTGTAATCCCAGTGCTTGGGAGGTTGAAAACAGGAAGATCACTATGAGTACAAGCTGTGTAGTGAGACCCTGTACAAAATACATTTAAAAAACAAAAAAAAAAATCTCTAGGTATAAATTTAACAAAAGTAATGTAAAACCCAGGCTAAAAATTAAAACCTTGTTGAAGGAAAGACTGTTTTGGTCACTTTTCTTGTTGCTGAAACAAAATACCTGACCCTCAGAGTTAAAGGCAGAAAGCTTTTATTTTGGCTCACAGTTTTTAGAGGTTTCAGTCTGTAGTTGGCAGGCTTCAAGGCAGGGTGGCATGGCAGAGGGGCCTCGCAGGAGAAATGGTTCATAGCTGCCAGAGAACACCAAAGCAGCAAGGGACAAGGAATGACAGGCCTCTTTCTGTCCTTTATATCTTATACAGGTTTACCTGCCCTCAGGTTGGGTAGCATTCACACCCTTAATCCTATTGCCTTTAATCCTAATATTGCACCATGAATTAATCTCTGTGTTGCACACTGTAGATCCAACCACTCCTGAAAAGCCCCACCTTTGACTGCCTGAGGCTTTGGTGGGGGGGGGGCATATAGACACAACCAGGATAAAGACTTACATAAATGGGAAGAAACCCACTTCCCTGGGTTGGATCTTGATATTGTTCAAATGGCCACACTCCCTACATTGGTGTGCCAATTCAGTACGGTCTTCAAGAAAATTTCGACTGAATTCTTTACAAAAATTGACAATCTGATTACAGTACTCATATAGAAATTCATAGGACAGGGCCACAGAGATGGCTCAATGGAGTAAGCGCTTTCCTGGCAAGCGCAAGGGCCTGAGTTCAATCCCTGGTTCTGCCAAAAAAAAAAAAAAAAAAAGAAAGAAAAAGAAAAGACAAGAAATTCATAGGACACAGAATAGCCAAAACAGTCTTGCAAAAAACAAATATGGAAAACTCAAACTTCTCATCTTAAAACTTCACCTGGGTATGATGGTATATACCTCTTAGGAAGTTGAGGCAAGAGGATCACAGTGAGTTCTAAGCCAGCCTGGGCTACATAGTAAGTTCAAGACCAGACTGAACTACATAGTGAGAAAACAAAACAATGAAAACTGAACTATAAAGTTAAGTAATAAAGATAATGTGCCCCCAGGGCACGCTGAGACAGTGATTGAGACTGTGTGGTGGTGCAAGCCTGTCATCCCAGCACTTGGGAAACTGTAAAGAGGAGAATCACTACAAGTCTGGTGTATGCAGTGAGACCCTGTAGACCCTGTCCTAAAAAATACCAGAAAAGGGGTGGGGGACTGGATAAAGGTGATAACTGAATGTCATTGGATTGTATTTTTTTATTTTAATTTATTTTTTTAAATTTAGTACAGGGTCTACAGGGTCTCACTATGTAGACTGGACTCATAGTGATCCACCTATGTTCAGCCTCCTAAGAGCTGGGATTACAGATACACCCCAGGGGATGGTGCCAGCACAGCATGCCGGGGATCCAACCCTAGCTGCTGAACTCTGCTTAAGCAGGTGCTTCAGTCTGCTGAGCTATGTGGGAGACTGGTCTAGGCGTGCCTCCTTGGCCAGCAGAATCCATGCCTCCCTGTGTTCGTGCTGTATTCACGCCGACAGAGTAACGTGATGTACCTGTTACACTTGGCTCTTCTCTTACCTGGGCCTGTCAGTGAGTGCCTTGGGTGCAGAAAGTGGATTGTAAGCCTCTCCTGACCCTGGGCCTGATGCCTTGGTGTGTGCCTTGTGCGTGTTTAGTGACAGAGGAGCACAGGCTGGGCAGAGAGCAGAGATCGTTGTTCAGGGAAGGTGAGCGGAGGCCAGGGTAGAAGAGGCAGGTTTCCTGGAGCTCATCCATCTGAATTTCATTTCTAGCGAACTGAACAGAGAGATGTGAGGAAAGCGAGGCTGAAAGAAAAGAAGCAGCAAAATCAGAATGAAGCTCTACTTCAGGCCATCAAGGTGAGTTCTCAAATCCTGTGGCACCCACTAGTCTTGCGAAGCCTGCTGGGAACCTTTCTTTGATTGCCTTCCCTGAACATTCATTTTCTTTCTGCGGCAGTAAGGCACTGTGACGGTGGAGCCTGGCTCCAGAATCTGCCGTCCTGTGGTCTGTGCATTGTCCCAGGGTCACATGTGCTGCTCGCTGGGCTCAGTGTTCTCATTCAGTCTTCACAGTGATGTCTGAGGCGGCCATGCTGCTGCTTTCCTAGCTGAGGAGGTCATCCCAGAGAGGTAAAGGAACCTCACTTGCTGGCTGTCAGGGCCAGGGCCTTGCTCTTCACACCGCATCCCCCTCGCCCCAGGAGACCAGCCTTTCGGTGGTGCTCCTCTAACCAGCTCAGCAACAGCCACACGAGTCCTTCTTTCCTTTCCCTGTTTCTTGCATTTTGAAATAATCACCGTCTGAGCCAAATCACCGTCTGAGCCACATGTTGCTTTACTTTGAGCTTCTTCATCTTCACACAATAGATAATACCCGTTGAGTGACTGTGGAGCAGGGATTGGTTCCGTTCTTTGTTCAGCTAGGTTATGCACCTACTTAAGTCCTTGTTGACATTGAGAATTTAGCACTACTAACGTCCATCCTGTTTGCCGTTCCAGCAAGCAGTCTATTGGGAATTAACAAATCGGATCGACTTGTCCACAATTCCATTGAATCCTCAGTTACAGTGAGAGGCTTTATTTTCTTAAATGTAGAATATTGGAGCCAGTAGTCCATGCCCATGATCCCAATACTTAGGGAGGCTGAGGCAGGAAGACTGTACATTCAAGTCCTACTTGGGCAACTTAGTCTCAAAAGAATAAATAAAAAGGGCTGGGGATGCAGCTCAGTGGTAAGAGATTCCCCTGAATCCAGTCCCCAGTACAAAAGGAGAATATTGGAATGCCTAGACATTTACATTCAGACTTTTTATTGTTGCTCTCTTTTTTAGTTCAACCCTGCATTTTAGGTTTCAGTTTCCATAAGAAACTCAGCAGTACCAGATCTTTTTTGAGACAGACACTGTGGTTCAGGCTGACCTTGGACTTGGGGGCAGTCGTGCCTCAGCCTCCCAAGTGCTGAGACTACAGGTGTGCATGAGCACACTGGCTCGGGAGCTCTAGCTTACTGATGGTTTACAGTGAAGGTCAGCAACTGCAGCCTTTAGCACAGCCTTCCTATGTAATCTTATCTGTGGCTGTTTTCACACTGCAGCGATAGAGTTGATTACTTACAACAGAGACTGGCTTACATTATCTGATCCTTTTTCTTAAAGTTTGCCAGCCCCTGTTTTAGGGGTTATTGTCTAAAGTAATTTTGATTGCTTGTACTTCCCTGGTGCTAACTTTGGAACTTCAGCTCTTGGACATATGATGTGGCCCTCTGTTCATACCCTTGACTGACCCTCATCTGTGAGATGGATCCTGTGTCTTCACCACACTGAGACATTTGTCACTTGTATACAGGTTACACTCTTTTTTTTTTTTTTTTAATTTGTTTATTTATTTATTTAGTGTGTGTGGCCAGCTCAGCCCACCAGGGGGCGGGGCTGGCTGGCATGTGGTGCTGGGGGATTGAACCGTGGTCCCTGGGCTTTGCTTAAGCTTAACTTGTCCTAAGTGGGTGCTTTAGACCACTGAGCCATCTCACCAGCCCCCAGGCTACACTCTTGATTTTTTCTGTGCCCTTGCCTGTGCCCCTTTCAAAGTCATTCAAGGCCTAGCACTTCCCAGTCGTTGTGCCCGCAGGCTGAATCTGTCCTCTTGGAAGTTCCATAGCTCCTTGTCTACCTTCTGTGCTGTCTCCCTCTAGATCATAAACAGGCTTGAGGACAGGGAACCCTAGCTAGCACCTCTGACAGCACATACCTAGCAACTGTGAGTTAAACAGATGGTGCCCCTCCACAGCAGGCCTCCTGTACTGAAGAGGAATTCTGTGGAGCTGGCCCTTGGGGAGCTCACATTTTTAGGGTTTATTTCAGTGAAATGGGTTTGTACCCTCTACATAATAAGGTTTCAGTGTCTATACATTTCTTTTT